CTTTCCAGAGTCAGGCTATCTGTCCTCCAAAGAGCAAGTTGGGGGTCCCTTTTTGTACACCGGCAAGTGTACCCATCTGAGCTGAAAAAATCCGAATGAGCACTAGATGGCAGCAATGGGATGGAGAAAGACTCCTTCCTGGAATTTCGCAGCTGGTTTCAGATTTTCCGAGCTAGAAGAGATTCCCCCAGAGATCTTTCGACTGTGGTGAAAACTTTGACCCTAGTGGAAAAATATTATTTCTAGCGGGCCACTGGATCGAATGCCTGTCAATCAACACCAGCCTTTTGTTCTGCAGGGACCGCGTCACCCACAACGACATCATTGGCACCAGCTACCTCTGCATGTCCAAAATCTCCGCTCCGGGAGGAGAACTGGAAGGTGAGCAGGTTCAGAGGGTCCCGGTCCCTGGCAGGGTGGCAGGTGGGGTCTTCTGTTGCCTGAGTGAGCCAACCTCAGGCTCGCCGGAGGTCAGAGGGCGTGGCTGATGGGCTCTCTAGTCTACCTCAGGGCTGGTGAGCCATCCGTGAAGACCACAGCAGGACCAAGGCAAGACTCTTCCTGCCCTGTTCATGGCATTGACTAACCAGTGGGACAGCTGGCCTCCAGAAATCGTGGGCGCTCCATCACTGGAGGTTTTTAAGAAGAGACTGGACAGTCACTTGTTTGAGATGGTATATAGGTTCTCCTGCTTGAGCAGGGGGCTGGACTAGAAGACCTCCAAGGTCCCTTCTATTCTATTCTATTCTATTCTATTCTATTCTATTCTATTCTATTCTATTCTATTCTATTCTATTCTATATTCTATATTCTATATTTTTCAAAATTTGGAATGCTAACAAAGAATTAAGGGAGTACTGAGATAGCTATTTCTAACCTTATTTGGTTATCATCAGTCAGACATACCCTTCCGAGATTCGAACCTGGGCTGTCTGCATGTTACACAGTACTCCCTTAATTCTTTGTTAGCATTCCAAATTTTGAAAAACATATATGATGTCGCAGTTAAGCGACTGCTGCCTGTGGATGGCTTTGGATTGAGCTGATGCAAGGCAAAAGACTTCTCTCTCTCCCATATTTAGGCTGACAGGGTGTTCAAAAAAGCACTCATATTCTATATTCTATATTCTATATTCTATATTCTATTCTATTCTATTCTATTCTATTCTATTCTATATTCTATATTCTATATTCTATTCTATTCTATTCTATGTTCTATGTTCTATGTTCTATATTCTATATTCTATATTCTATATTCTATATTCTATTCTATTCTATTCTATTCTATGTTCTATGTTCTATGTTCTATATTCTATATTCTATATTCTATATTCTATTCTATTCTATTCTATTCTATATTCTATGTTCTATGTTCTATATTCTATATTCTATATTCTATATTCTATATTCTATTCTATTCTATTCTATTCTATATTCTATATATTCTATATTCTATATTCTATTCTATTCTATTCTATGTTCTATGTTCTATATTCTATATTCTATATTCTATTCTATTCTATATTCTATATTCTATATTCTATATTCTATATTCTATTCTATTCTATTCTATTCTATTCTATTCTATTCTATTCTATTCTATGTTCTATATTCTATATATTCTATATTCTATATTCTATTCTATTCTATTCTATTCTATTCTATTCTATTCTATGTTCTATATTCTATTCTATTCTATATTCTATATTCTATATCCTATATTCTATTCTATTCTATATTCTATATATTCTATATTCTATTCTATTCTATTCTATTCTATTCTATATTCTATATATTCTATATTCTATATTCTATATTCTATTCTATTCTATTCTAGCTTGCCTTTGGAAGTTGTTGGTGCTTCATCACTGGAGGCTTTGAAGAAGAGATTGGACTGGTACCTGTCAGAAATGGTGTAGGGACTCCTGCTTGGACAGGGAGTTGCACTAGATGACCTACAAGGTCCCTTCCAACTCTGTTATTCTAATTCAGAGTCGCGACCTCTACAATTTGGGTGCTGACTTTTGCTGGACCAGGTCCTCCCCAAGGAGTAGGATAGAAAGAGTGCAGAGAAGAGCAACCAAGATGATCAGGGGAGCAGAGACTAAAACATACGAAGAACGGTGGCAGGAATTCTATACGTCTAGTCCAGGGGTAGGCCATCTTGGTTGTTTTATGACTCCGGGACTTCAACTCCCAGAATTCCTGAGCCAGCCATGCTGAGGAGAAATGGACAGGTTTCCAAGCTGAGCCATGTTGGCTCAGGAATTCTGGGAGTTGAAGTCCACCAGTTATAAAAGAGCCAAGGTTGCCTACCCCTGTCCTAAGTCCTCCTGTTCTAAGCAGTGAGCCTCCTAGACCAGGGGTAGTCAACCTCGGCTCTTTTATGACTCGTGGACTTCAACTCCCAGAATTCCTGAGCCAGCCGTGCTGAGGGGAAAGGGAGAGTTTCCATGCTTAGCCATGCTGGCTCAGGAATTCTGGGAGTTGAAGTCCACCAGTCATAAAAGAGCCGAGGTTGCCTACCCCTGGTCTAGTCTAACAAAGAGAAGGACTAGGGTGACACGGTAGCATCTTCCAATATTTGAGGGGCTGCCCCAAAGAAGAGGAGGGGGGGGTCAACCTATTCTCCAAAGCCCCTGAAGGCAGGATAAGAACTAAATGGATGGAAACTTGATGTGGCAGACTTCAAGAAGAGACTGGACAGCCATCTGTCTGAAATGGTATAGGGTCTCCTGCTTGAGCAGGGGGCTGGACTAGAAGACCTCCAAGGTCCCTTCCAGCTCTCTCGTTCTGTATTCTGTAATTTAAAAAAAGCCACCTCTTCATTTTTACCCCTTATCTCTCAGGTGGTTCTAGCTGCACCACCCAAAAGGACCTCACTTTTTCACATTCCCCCCTTCTTTCTTTCTTTGTGCTTCAGATGAGTTTCCCGCCGCTACGAAACTCTTCCAAACGACAGACAGTATGTCCTTAGCATGGCTCTCTCTCTCCCCCCCCCCTCCTGAGTGTGTTTCTGAAATGAATTTAAAATCAAATGCCAGCCCTTGAATGCATGAATGCACGTGGCCTCCGTTGGGGAAGGCATGTGACTTGGGATGAGGATGAGGATGGTCCAACTTGCTTTGATCTGTAATCCCGGTTTAAATCCTCAGGTGATGTGATTGTGCACGTCTTGCTCTCTGAAAATGTAGGGTTAATTTTTACGGAGGGGGCTGGGTGTCCTTCCCCCCTGCCATCTCTCCAGCTCAATGTTTCTCAGCTTTGGCAACTTGACGATGGGGGGACTTCAACTCCCAGAATCCCCCAGTCCACCTTGCAATCTCTCTTGCTTACTCAGTGTTTCTCAACTTTGGCAAGTGGAAGGTGGGTGGACATCAACTCCCAGAATCCCCCAGTCCACCTTGCAATCTCTCATGCTTACTCAGTGTTTCTCAACCTTGGCAAGTGGAAGGTGGGTGGACTTCAACTCCCAGAATTCTCCAGCCAGCTTTGCTGGCTGGGGAATTCTGGGAGTTGAAATCCACCCACCTTCCACTTGCCAAGGTTGAGAAACACTTATGGAGCAGGATGGATCTTTGTGCAAATATAGCATGCCCAAAAAGTTTCTAAATCTGGGCAGTTGACTGCAAATTGATTTGGTTTTGGTGAAGGTATCTCCAGAAGATGAGAGGAGTCATTGAGTTTTCCCATTGGTGGCCTTCTGCAGCCCTGGAGGTGGACACCTGGCTTTGATTGCTAGAAATCCAGAAGGCTGCGATCATTGTGTAGATGTGACATCATAACTGAGAAGACATTATAACTGCGAGCATGTACATTTTCACCCTAGTTTAATGTCATGGCTTGAAAAAAAAAACCCACCAGGATGTCTTCTCCGTTCTACAATTTTCAGCCCAAAAGATTCAGTAGAAGAATATTTGGTTGGACTTCAAAATGGGTTATTTCAGGTAGACAATGGTTTCCATAGTTCCACCTTCCTGGGTCTCTTCCCACAGTGGATGATGGTCTTGGCTTCCTGCCCACCTTTGGGCCATGTTACATCAACCTCTATGGCAGCCCCCGGGAGTTCACTGGATTTCCTGACCCTTATGAAGATCTCAACACTGGCAAGGTGAGACAACTCTTCTGGGCAGCTGGTCTGAAGCCCCTGAGAAGCAGTTGACTTCCTCCAGCTGGCCACGTTGGAAGCACGAGTTGGTTTGTGAAGGGGGACCTTCTCACGGGCTCCTTCCTATATCCCAAGGGAGAAGGTGTGGCTTATCGTGGCAGACTGCTGGTGGAGCTGGAGACCAAACTGGTAGACCACGTTGAGCAGAAGTTGGGAGATATCCCTGCGGATGACATCCTGAGGGTGGAGGTAAAGCTTTGAAGCCGTCTGTCTGTGGAGATTCTCCATCCTCCAGGTCAGGGTTGTCCCAAAGGTGCTTTTTCAAGAGGCAATTGGACTTTCTGGGTTTTCTCTGAAGACGTTTCGCTTCCCATCGAAGAAGCTTCTTCAGCTCTGACTGGATGGTGGGGAGCGGAAGGATTTATACTCCTTGCAGACCGCTGGTCCTTTGCCTCCTTTTAGAGACTTGTTAAGAAGCCATAGATGTCTTCATCTTTTCGCTGAAAGGGGGGTGTATCCTTAGACCTCAAGGGGATCATCTAGGGCAGGGGTCTCCAAACTTGGCCACTTTAAGACTTGTGCACATAAATTCCCAGAATTCCCAGGCCAGCATGTCTGTCTGTCCGTCCGTCCCTCCGTCTGTCCGTCCATCATCTATCTATCTATCTATCTATCTATCTATCTATCTATCTATCTATCTATCTATCTATCTATCTATCTATCTATCTATCT